ATATTTTATTTACCTAGGTTATGAGTCACTTTATCTATAATTTACCAGTGCTTTGAAGTCTGCCGTGGTGTACATTGTCAGAACACATCACTTGAAGTGGATTCATTCCTACTAATTTGCCTGGTGTTTTCTAGCACGTCTCTTTTAGATAAAAGCTAGCTGGTGTTTCTTCAATGTAGTTTAAAAATAAAAAGCAAAAACCCAAACCCAGTACTTACATGAGCAGTATAGCAATGCAGGATGTAGTGGTGTGATGTGCAGAAAGGAAGCAAAGCATGTCTGTAAAAGGTAAAGCAATCAGTGTATTACTTTCTTCCTTGATATCTTCCTATTATGTGGAAGAGAGAGCTTCTCTAAGTTGTTTAGCAGATCACTCACTCAGCTGTTGAGTGTGTCAGTTCATTCTGTTAATGAAATATTTGCCTGTAGTTTCCTAACAGGGCACCGTTGCTTTTACCGACATCTAAAACTCCATCTCTGACATGCGGTTCTGGAGGTCTGTTGTATTATTGTGTTGAAGTTTTTCTTCTGAATTGTTCTGTAGTTTAGCTCAGGCCCCTTCAGCGCTCTTTGGGGCCGTGTAGCAGAAATGAGGCAAGGCAGAGGGTGAGACCTTTTTTTTTTTTTTGAGTTCATGAGCTCTGTGCCCAGCAAGGGCCGTTCTGGGGCTGCTCCTGGATCCGCTGTGCTGTGTGGTCCTTGTCACATTGCTTTGGGACAACGCCTGGAAGGACCGCAGGAATTCGGAAAGGAGAACACATGGAAAAATTGCTCAATAGAACCTATTAACTGGTGTATGAGCAGCCCAGATGAAATTTAAGATTAATCTAAATGTCAGAAATGTATTTCCTTCCGTCTTTCAGAAGGATGCTGAACAGACATTAGCTTTGGCTGAAAAAAATCACCGAGGGAATATAGATAACTTTTGCTGATGTACCTCGCTTTTTGTGGCTTGGCAGAAAAGCTGATCTGTGATGAGGTTGGTTTTAGTTGTCTTTATTTCTTCTTTCTTTACATAAGGTACCTAGGCACAGGGATAAAAGGCAGGCTGTAACAGTACTGCGTAATTTATGCTCTTCCAGATTAAATACACCAGCAAAAGGCTCAGCCCATATACCTGGCATATTGTAAATGACCAAGTTTCCTGTCTTACATTGAATGATGTAAGTAGCTCTGATAGCTGTTTCCTGACCAAAAGAAGTCAGAGGGGAGCATGCGGATAAATGAAAGCTGCCAAGAAAAGATTATTGAATGGTATTGAGCTGAACAATTGTTTCACTTAGTGCCTCTCTCTATTCAGGCCTCTGGCACTGTAGAACCATAGGTCACGTGCTGGGAAGCCTTGCTGTTTGTCCTGGCTTGTCAAAACAATTTAATGTAGGTGGAAAGGAATGAGTGAAATGAACGAAGTGGGCTCGATGCATCTGTTTCAATTTGTTGGAAGGGCAGCCTGGTGATTGGGATGTGACACTTCAGTCCTTCAGGGAAGCTACTGGTTCAGGGAGAACAATGCTGTCCAAATTATGAGGTAGTTAAGTCCATTTTAGGAAGCAAGTTCTCTTCGAGTTTGACAGCTTGTGTATTTTTAAATATTTAGGCTATATCAGCTCAGCACTTGCTGTAACTGAGATGCAAGAATGTGATTTGCAAACAGCAAGACTTAGAGTTTGTCTTGTCTGCCTGGTATTGCTTCATTATATGGTCAAAATGAATGCCTGGGGGAGGAAGGAGGGTGTCCAATCTCTTTCTTTTTTTTTTTTTTTATAATTATTATTTTTAGTTGAAATTCCAAATAAATTGGCCTTGGAAGGATAGGATATCAAGTCGTATATTATTAACAGTTCTTAAAGTGGCATCTTTTTTATCAAATTTCTCAGATTTTTGGAAAAAACATTTTTACGCACCTTTATATCATGCATTGTTTCTCATTGTTTGATTTAAAAAATAAAAATAAAAGAGAGAACATTGCATTTGTTTACCCAGTCTTGTGCTTTGTGATACTGGAATGTCAAGCTGTGAGGTCTGGTTGCTGGAAACAGCAAATGCACACTGATGTCTTCCATCTCTGTACCTACTTAGACCCTGAGCTGAAGGGAGGAAAAAGGCTACAGGAGATACAGATCTTATTTGATTCGCCTTTGATATAATTGAATCAGAGGTAATTGCTTACTTTGAGTGATAAACTGTGGTACTTCTTGCTGTTTCTTTAGAGATGGGGATGGAACGGGAGCAAGGATGGCTCTTATGTTCCTTGCATTTAGCCTGTAGGCTGTTTGCAAGTTGTGTTGTTGGAGGGTAGCTTATGCAAGTGTAACCACCAATTATTGTACATACAGATGAATTTTGTTGGTGTAATTGTACATGAGGTCTAATTGTTGAGTGCTAGTTTTCTTTTTCAAGTACATATAGCATTTTATGCTACCTAGCACTAGTGTTCCTTTAAGGAAAGATATATAAATACCTGTTACAAATCGGGGTAGTTAAAGGCCGTACACATTGCTGGTCTTATGAAACAAGTGGCTTCTGTCCTTTTCTGACAGCTCTATTCAAAATTAGCTTCGGCTGCTGCAGTGCTACTGAAAGGTGTGATGTTTCCTTGGTTGCAGAAATATTGCTGTTTTCTCTGGGTGCAATTTGTGTTTGTTGGCCTGCATTTGTGTCCAAACTTGTCTGAGATCATTAGGGCACTGTGGCTTCCAGAGAAGTGTTGCATTAATATATTGTCATTGTCTGGACTTTTTTTTTTCTTCTGTTAATGCCAGCAGTGAAGTGCTGAGTGTCTGTTTTAAACGTCACAGATAAGTCTGCAGGAACATGATGCTACCATTGATGTGACCAGAAAGAGAAATGACTCAAAGTAGGCATGCCCATTAGGAATCTGCTCCTTGATAAGAGTGATTAGCATTTGTTAGTTTCTATCCGGCACCACAAGTACAGCAACAGGGGAAGCCCAGAGAGGCCCTTAAAAGTGAGATTGGGTGTATTCAGGTTTAAATAAAAAATTAAGGTCAAGTCTAGTCTAAAATTGGTTAGTAATATTTGTTAGTTCACAAAATACAGGAAGCTTAATCCAAGTGTATAACTATAATTTAGTTTTTGTACACAAGCAAATGCAGGTGTTTGTATTACATCGCTAAATTTAAGCGATGTAACGAGTAATTGTTACGGCCTGTGTTTTATAATTACCATAAATAGTAATTCGATGTAGAGCTAAACAGATGAATTGTACAGATAAAGAGCAGAGGCTGGGAATAATCTGCTTTGTTATCTTTGTGAGAATGATTATTGTGATTGTGCATTCTGTTCAAAGTATTGAGATTCTTAAACCATGTGTGTATGATCTTTTGATCGACCTGCTGATAGCAGCTCACTGCTTTTCTGCATCTCTGCTGCTTGTAACAGTCGGGATTGCATTGGTCTTGGACAGAACTTGTGCTGCTGTACATTGTGAAGAAAGGAAAGCTATTAGCTGTGTAAGAGCTCAAATGGGAACATTACTTCCATATTAAAGAAACTCAATAAAAACCAAATCAACCAAAAAACACCACTAAACCTCAGCAGACATGAATATTGACATGTTTTCTTAGTGTTTCTGCAAGCACATTCTATCAAAACTTGTCTGTGCAAGTATGCTTTCTGAAGGAGTGAGGAGAAGTGGTAGCACTGGTTTCTGCAGGGGGAAATAGTTGCGGGACTGAATGCTTTTGATATCTATTGATTAATTTGTGGCACTTAAGAACTGGTGTTTTCCTAAACAACCATAAATATATGGTAAGTGATAGACGCATAAAAGCACTGACATCTGAAATGATTTCAGAACTATTCTCCTATTTGATCTGGAAGATTCCTACGCTTCTGAAAATTGGGGCTTCATCTGGAAATGAAGTAGTCCATGCCTCCTAGGGAAAGTCGATAATTTATGTGAATAGAGGGTGGTTTGGATATTAACATGGCTGAATAGTATTGAGAAAACACACTGACTTCACAAAGGAAGAGGAATTACAGATTAGTGGACAATTGTGAGCAGTTTGAGTAGACTCTAAGTACTTATTCTGCTGCCTTGTAGTTGAAAAGTAAATGTAGCCTTAAAATTTTTAAGATTTGACAGAGGGCACTGGTAATTTGTAATTAGCTGGCAGAAACACTGATTGTAAAAATCTGGGCTTTGAATCTATCTTGAATTGTTTTTCATATTATCTGCATATGGATCTGATTTATGTCAGTTATCAGCCAAACTAGTGTGACTATGCACTGGTAAACTGACAACTGAAAGATGCAAGGAGACTCTTCATATTTGCAGTTTATTCCTGGTCAGCTGGTCGGAATCTTGAAGATATTAGATAGTTGGTTGCTGTAGATAGTACAGCAATATCGTCCAGGAAAGCTTTTTCATGACTTGTCTCTGGCCAAAAGCTCGCTGTCTCTCTGGTGTGAATTATGTCTTTGTTTTCCTTGATGCTAGATTACAGGAAGCTTGCTCAATCATGAGGTCATGCTTTTAATAAAAATAAATAAATAAAAAAAAATCTAACCCAAATTTATTTGTCTTTCTTTGGAAATGCATCCTATAAATTAGGTTTTTTGCTCTACCATCTGTAAGGAGAATTAATCCAGTCTGTTACCAGTGGTGTGGATTCTATGCTTGAAGGAATAATTGAAGATTATAGGTGTTTATAATCTGAGATATGTGCTTTAAATGATCCCTTTTTGCCTGACCTTGAATGCACGAGTATTTTAGGACGTTGTCCCTTTCCACCTCAAGTCAAGCAATCCCTTTGGAGTAGGGGTGGAAGAAATAGCACTAGGAGATAATCCCCATTCATACTCTAAGGAAAGCTATGATAGAGTATCTTCTAAATAAAGAAGTTACTGCATGAGTAACTGTCAGCAAAATGGCGTTTAAAAGATGCTGATTCTTGTTGAGTGACTGTACACAACTGTTTTTCAATTTGCAGTTTCTCTGAGAAATAAAACAAAGCTTTATTTTCTTTTTTTGTTAGGATCGGAAACTATCCAAGTCAGAGCGACAAAGATTCAAAGAGGAAGCTGGGATGCTGAAAGGGCTTCAGCATCCCAATATTGTCAGGTTCTACGATTCCTGGGAGTCCACAGTCAAAGGAAAAAAATGTATTGTCCTTGTGACAGAACTTATGACATCTGGAACATTAAAAACGTAAGTAAATTCTAGCATGTCAAAGCACTTGATGAGCATTATCACTATTAGGGCATTTGAAGTAGGTAATAATTCAAAATAGCTAAGGACAGAGACCTTTTACTGAGGGCTAAACTCCCGCAAGAGAGGAGTTAAGAAGTTTAAGGAGTTGAAGAAGAGTTTTGTTAGCACTGCAGGGTACAATGGACCATTCTTTATGTTAGCAAACTTGTCAGATTCTTCTTTGTGACGTCCTACTAAGTACATGCAGGAGAAGTCTCTAATTTTTGTGAGCTCAGTAAGTATGCTGCTTTTTTGTACCTTTTGTTTTCCTCCTGAGCTTCTTCAATTTGGCATGAGGTATTTTGTAGAGTTCAAAGCTCTTATTGATTCACCTTGCTTGGGAGGCATTGGGTGTTACTACAGTACCAGTGATCAGTAAAAAGAAGGAATAAAAAGCACACCCGAAAATACATCTTTTTAGTTAAAACTTCATGAGGTTGTACTTTAGAAAAGCTTGAAAGCATTTACAGTTTTGACCTGTGAAGTAATTGAGTGAAGCTAGATCTGTTTTCAAGCCAGTTGGAAAGTAGTGATTGAAACTGCTGTGAGGGCCCTCTAGTGGTACGTAAAGCTGAGGGAGTTGAACTGAAATCATGCTTTTGTCTTACGCTGTAAATCTTGCGGAAATGTGAGTTTCTTCAGGAGCATCCAGTTGCTGTTAAATTACTGGAAATAAAGCTGCCGTGACTTAAAATTCATGGATTGTGAGTCGCAGTCTTAATTTGGTGTCCATTTAAATCTTGGACTAGCATTTAAATCCTAAATGTGTGAATAGAGTGTAGTAGGAACTTTGGTTAAAATAGGCTGTGAACTTCTTGTGGCTTTTTTCCTCTTGCAACATTTGTTGATTGCCACAAATGGACATGCTTAAAACAGGGAAAATGTGCTCTTGGGAATCTGAGCTGTAATTTATAGGGATGTGTTTCTTTCTTGAAATAGGGCTGGAGGACTAAAGAAGTTGTAACTTTATCTATGTGTCCATGAAGAGCTTTTCTGAGGTTGTTTAAGGTATATCAGATAAAGTAATAGATCAGTTACTTTATGTCCTGCACTTGGAACAGTATGAAGGTTTTACAGCTTTGTACAGATGCATCTATTTGCAGGTATCTATTTTCATAGTAGTGTATATAGGGTTGGATATAACTCTTCCTCTCTTTCTCACTCTGTTCTTTCTCTCACAGATTTAATGCTTGGATTGCTTTGTTATGCAGTGGCATAAGCAAGATAAAGTAAAAGCAGATAACTATAAGATAATGCTTTGATAGGAAGAAATACTTAAGATTTACTAGCCGTAAGATTGTTTTGTACTCTGAATTATGAAGGTCTTCTTTTATCTAGGAAAAAAAATCTTAATATTCTTTTTAATTGGCTATCGTTTAAATAATACACTTCAGTTTTTTCACTATTGTGTACTTCGTTTGTAATTTAGTTCATTTTTCTGCTCCTCACTGGATATCTGACAAGTAAACTACATGAGAAATTTCTGCAATACCAAATTTAATATCAATATGTATTTCATTTATATTCCGTTCCCATACTGCTCACTTATTTTTAACATATGGAGTTTGAATGCATATTGCTTCCATATTTATCCAGTGTGTTTATACTACTTGCTTTTAAAACAAGTGGTATCTTCCTCATTCTGAGACATAGCCACTGTTGCCACTTGATATTAAAAACAAACAAACAAAATGTGAGATGTGTAATGTTATCCCAAAGTATCTTTTCATGAAGTTGTATTGTATTTGTGTGGGTAATATTGTGAATTCGTCCTTTTAAAATGCTGCCTGGGAAGACTTTTAATTGCACAAAGAAAAGTCCCTGCACTTCTGGGGAACATACCAATTTAAACGTCTTACAACTCAATTACTATAAGAATTTGCTTTCTAACATTATATATAAACAGAAAGTATTGGAAAAAATTGAATTGTCTACTTTAAGTCTTAATTACACTGTTAATGAAGATGGCAGTTTAATTTTTCTGACTGAAGTCTCAGCCTCTAGTTCTGACTTCAAAAGCCACTGTAATGTGTATTCCTGATCTACTTCAGATGAAAATATTAATTATTCTGGTAGGATATGTGCCTTCATAACTATTTCTGCTAAGTAGAATTTCTTTAGCTCCGTGAGATGAGATGCTGTGATAGATTGTGAGCCTTCCTGGTTTTAAAAAAATCCAAACATGTAAAATTGCGAGACAGAAATCAAACTCTAGTTCCTACTTTTCTCCATTTGTTGAAGATAATTATTAGGATTGTCTTGTTTTCTCATCTTTGCTTGTATTTGTGCTAAGATCAAGTACCTATCTTTAATTGACAACTACCCTGTTAAATAGAGAAAAATGATGCTGATCAGCTAGGAACAAGTTCAGTGGCGGTCATCAAGATGTCAGGGGTTGGAGTACCTGCTGTGTGGTTATGAGCTGGAAAAACTGAGCTAAAGAAGGGAAACCTTTAGGAGTGACTTAGGCACTGGAAGACTGCTGTTATGAAGAAGTCATAGGCTCTTTCTGTTGCTGCTTGGTGGGTAGGAGGATTAGAGGTAACAGGCATTAACTGAAACTAGGGAGCTGGTTTCTGGGTGCAATAAGAAGCTTTTTGACAGTTAGGCAGTGGAACAAGTTGCCCCAAGAGGTATGCTGTCTCCTTCCTTGGAGATGCTCAAGATCTGACAGGACACAGCTCAAATGAACCTGGTCTGACTTCCTGACTGTGACCCTATGTGGAAAAGAAGCTTAGCCTAGAGACCTTTTGAGGTCTTCTCAAACCTGAGTTACTGTATGTGTAATACTTGGATAAACAAAGCCTAATAGGCTAATAGGGCTGTACATGTATTTTTTAAGTATTTATATATTTCTCCATTTTAAAACACTTTCTACCTTAAGTGACGTGTGACTTTGTTTATGGCTGTGTTATGGAAAAATTACAGCAACGCTGCAGGATGCTGGGTGATGGTTGGACCCAGATCCTTTAACAGTGAGAAGCTGGCAGTAGACTAGCATATTTGAAACCAAGAATGTAATTAGGGATTCCAGATGCTGAACTGAAGTGCCCCTACCATGTGATCTTTGGAACAGACTCAAGAGTGATGAATGAGGATTGTGTCAATAGCAAGAATTCAAGTGGTAGCTGATGTGATCCAGAACTTCCTTCAGCTTGTCTCCTTCCTTGGGTTGGCTTTTTCCCTGTCCGTCTTTACAGTCTGGTTCAAGACTCCTTCTGGAACTAGGTCCTGACTGCTTTTACAGTTTTGTTTTTTCATTGCTAGCAGTTTGTTTCCCAGATCTTCCTCTAAAGTGGAGAAATTAAAGTAATGGGAGTTTAATTATGGAGTTTTTATGCTGGTGTTGATGCAAGTAATTTTATGGGTATGCAGAAGTCTGAACACTGACATTCAATAATTGAACCTGACTTGATTTTAAGCATGTAGCTTCATCCTGGTCACAGAGTTTACACCCAGTCTTGTGGCAGTATAAAACTTGTCCAACCTCAGGCACATAAGAATAAAATTATTGCTGTACAGAGCGTACCATTTCAGCAGTTCCTTCTCTAAATACATGTCAGCCCTTTCTTTTTAAAAAGGAAGAAAAGAACTCTTTCTTTAAACTAATGCTTCTACCTGAAGAGAGCGTGTGAGAATACACAGCTGGAAAACACTTGAATAGGCCATTTACCTTGTGACATCTTTAGGCTATCAAAGTTTAGTAGAATAAGATCACATTCTTGTGTCACGAAGACTGGAAAACAATTATTTGTGTGAATTTTCTCTTTTGACATTTAGAAAGCAGCAATATTAGAACAGTTAAGACTGGGTCATGTTTTGCCTGCAAAGGGATGCTGATGCTGTGCATGTACTTTCCACATCAATCTGTTAGCATAATCATTTTAAAGATCTTCTTTTCCTCTCCGTAGTTTTGAAGTGGTGAGTATTATCTGATCAGATTCAGACAGTCACATCCCATATGGGACAGTACCAGGGAAGTGATCTCTGAGAGTTTTTTATTTGCTTGACAGCAAGTAAATTTCATGTAGGTTCAAAGCGTAATCTGGAATGCTTGATCAAAGTGGTTGGAATAACATTGATAACTAGGGTGACTTTGTAACTGTTGCGTGGTCTGCAGCAGCTCTGTACTCGGCTGTTCTTTATTAGCATCTTTGGCTTTACTGCCCTCTTCCCAATAGTTCACCAAGGAAAAGATTTTAACTATTTAAGCAATGATGGGATAAACTAAAGGGTAGGTAATCCTCTTAAATAAGTAGATAATGTAATGCATAAGTTTTTAACTGTGTGTTGGGGAAGCAGTGCCTTGAAATTTAGCAAGCTGAGTGCTTAATTATCTTTAGGTCTTGACTTGGTATGCAAATTATTTATTTTTAAAATATTTTGATAATACAGTAATGATTTTAATAATTTACTTTTTAACCTTCAGCACTATAGTCTCGTGGTTAGAAGGAAGTAGGCAGAAATTTTCCATAGGGCAGTTTTTCTTTCTTGGAGGGGGATCCATCTTCAGCTCTTTGATTTTTGAACTGGAGAGGTATTTTTTAAAATAGATGAAGTTAAAATTTCTCAGTCTCTTTAGCTACTGCTTTCTCGCTTTAAAACAGCAAATATACAGCATAATCTGCTATTTGGTAGCAGAACTTAATTTTGTAGTACAAGTGGCTGACGCTGGAGCCTGTTTCATGTACTGTTATTTTTCTGTAGGTACCTGAAAAGATTTAAAGTGATGAAAATCAAAGTACTACGAAGCTGGTGTCGTCAGATACTGAAAGGCTTACAATTTCTACACACACGCACTCCTCCCATTATTCATAGAGACTTAAAATGTGACAACATCTTCATTACTGGCCCCACTGGTTCAGTCAAGATTGGAGACCTTGGACTGGCAACCCTGAAGAGAGCTTCTTTTGCCAAAAGTGTGATAGGTAAGTCTCTACTGTTTAGAAGGCTGATGAGCCGGTCTATGTAGTTGGGAATTCGAGCTTTAAGAGCCTTCCTTTTAAAATATGGTTTCAAAGTTACACAATCTAAGCTTGAAGATGTGTAGGCTTGATTTCTTGGCTTTTGAGGTCAGGTGGAGTTCCTGATGAGAAGACATGATGCGTTTTGTATTTGTATAGTAACTTAAAGTATTTCAGAATATAGATTTATTGCCTTGCCCAACAGTTTTCTGCAACACTGTTGATAAAACCATTCTTAACTGCATATGAAAGGTGAGAATTATGTATCTCTTCAAGAAACATGCAAATAGGTTTTGGTGACTAACAAATATCTTGATGTTTAGCTAAGCATTAATTTATGCAGCCAATTTTTTCAATTGTCACCAGATGTTATATTAAATCTCTTACAATTGGCCAACAAAAACTAAGATTTATCAAAGAAAGTCAAAATATATTGCAGTTGGACTGGGGCATAATGTTTTAACCAGGAAGTCTCTGGACTGCAGTTTTACATTAAGTCAGGAGGATGCATTGGGGAAGTATTGTCTTGTACTTGCTCTGTTCTTGTGTATCCGCTAATGAGTGTTTTCAGGAAATAAGCTATTGGATTGATAGATCTAGTACAGGTTTTCTTGTAAATTCTTTAAAGAAATGGTTTTATCAGCTTTGTTCTTGTAGTTGGGCAAATAGGCTTTGAGGAATGAAATTGCTTTTATTTCCAGTGTCTAAGCTTGCTAAAATGTAATACTGCTCAACAGTCCTATATTAGATACCCAAATGGGATAAAAGATGTATATCCATAAACTGTCTTGAAAGTGATTGCTGAAATATTTCCTGCTTCTTAACCAGGTCAAAATAATAGTACGAATGAAAAGTACACATTGTCCAAGAAAAAAAGTTTTTTTCTTAAATGTACTCCCTTCTTCAATTACATCATTACAAAATTATCCCTTTGTATGTTCATAGTTTGCCTTTGGATAAATGGCTACAATGACATTCTCTCTTCATTTTGTGTTGTGAAAACAAAAGTGACTGTTCATTGATTTATAGAACTATCTTGATTCTGGTATTTGCAGGAAGTAATTCTGTGCTTAAATTTACAGAATCAAACTTACGTCTTTGATCATACAGTGCAGTCCCTTTGATTACAGAGGGGATGCTGTGATGCTTCTCTGAGCAAAAATTCTCTGCAAACTATTTAAATGGGACTTGTTGAATCTCACGCTCTATGCTTGTAACTCAATCTCTCTGTATTTCTAAGTATTTTTTGACTGTAGGATGTTCCTCACTAATGCCTGTATCTGCAGTAGGCCTATAAATATACTGCAGGTGAGAAGGTAAGTATATGAAGAAGAGGGCTCCGGTGAGTGGCCTTTGCAGAAAATTACTTTTCACTTTCTATCATGAAGATTTATATTTTTTAACAAAAAGAGTTTTTCATTGCAAGGCCTTTCCTGAACCATTCTACTTCAAAAAGTAGGTGGAGAGCACTAGGACAGAGACTAGCTGTGGGCTCTTACCAATACTACTTCTTTTGCAGCAGAGGGCGGTCAGGTAATTCTTGAAACCAGGTTTAATGTGCCTCCTTTCTTACAGGGAGAAAAGGTAAGTGTCTTAACTCTCCTTAGTATTTGGTTTGCAGCCTATGGCTAGTCTGTTTTCCCTTCTTCTTATCCCCTTTCCTCCATTTGATGCCTGATTCAGTCTGTTTTGGTACTTGTGCTAACATGCATAAAATGAAAACTACATCAGTCCGTTCATGCCATTCTGATTCCATAAAGACCTTGCAATGGAAGACTCGCAAAGTGGTTTGATAAAACAGAGTGACTAAGGGTTTCCTCCCTCTTCTTTTTGCCTCCACTTTCTTTTGTCTCACAGGTCTGCCCATCCACTTCCTCCTGCGGTGAGTAACGCCAGCAGCCTCTGCTCGCTTTGAGACATTTAGAGTCTGAATCGTTCTTTTAATTTAAGGTACCCCAGAGTTCATGGCCCCCGAGATGTATGAGGAGAAATATGATGAATCCGTTGATGTATATGCTTTTGGGATGTGTATGCTAGAGATGGCAACGTCTGAGTATCCTTATTCTGAGTGCCAAAATGCCGCGCAGATCTACCGTCGAGTGACCAGTGTAAGTTCCTCCCCACTACTGGCTCTAAGGCTGTCAGCCTAGCAAAAGAGTAAAGCTGGACGGCATGGCATTGTACAAGTGTTTGCGGGGGGAGAGAATAATTAGAGCGTTTAGGAGTATGGATGGAAGTGAATAAAACAATTCAACTTACCTCAAATGGTTCATTAGAAACTTGTAAAATATGTGAGTGGAAATAAAATGTTGCGTGTGCTGATGCCTGTTTGGTATACAAGAAGATATTGGATAGGATTTAAAACAGAGAAACTTGACGAGAAGGAATAGAAAGAATAGTGAGGTTGGCTATTTGGGAGAGTGAAAACTTACTCTGAGAAAATCAGTGCATCTGTTCACATGTGCAAAGGGAGAAAAAGACTTTCAGCTGTCTACAGATTGGAGGAAGTATTATTCCAGTTAATCTTTTGGTGTGTATTATTTTTGAGGCTTTGAGGATTTAATAACAAGTGATTTGCTTAGGTCTGGAAAAATAAGTGCTTATTCCTGGTGCCTCATGCTGTAAGAGAGATATAATTACCAACTGCAAACAGAGAAGAAAGAGTCTTTATGTTAGAAGGGATGAGTTGCTAAGGAAGGCTTGGTGAAATAGAAGATGATAGCTTTTTTGAAGGAGAATGTGAGGGAGGCACAGGAGGAGGAGGAAGAAGAGGAAAAATAGCTGTTTCTTTTTTTTTTTTTTTTTCAACAACTAGAGTAAGTTTTTAACTTTTTTTTTTTTTTTTTTTTTTTTCTTTTTGACATGTTGGTTAACCTAACTGTAATCCTCTAAGTCAAAAGGAACAAGAGTAAAATCTAGTTGATTAACTGCACATTCTGATCTGCTGGCTATCTGGATCAGAGAAAGAAAACAAAATACCTTATGAAAACAATTTTTAGTGGTATCCTTTGCAATGCTTGTGTATGTATGTTGCCTAGAGCCAAAGAAACATAATTTCAGTATGGATGGGTATTTTATGCCAGAACAGACACCTGATGCAACTATCCTGCCCTATCGCTTAAAACGTGCTAGGAACTGGGCTGTGGTGATGAAAGTCATCTTTTGAAATAGATGGTCTCATGCTCCCAGGAGCATCCTTTTCCTGGTCTGCAAAATACTTAGCAAATTGAAACTTAATTATAGACTTACTGAGGTTCTACTTACCACATGTGTGTTGTACCTTTGACAAACCTGAATACTTCTTTCTCCCCACTGTTTTTGATTGACCGTTGAACTTCTAAGTGGATGAGGAGCAGGGAATGGTAACGGTTTGCTCAGTCCAACACATCTTTTACTGCACTTTGCTGCTGATGTTTCACAAATTGAATTGTTGACTTTTTCCTGCTGTTTCATCTACAGTTTGACATCTCTAAAATGCATTTTGACATGAAAATAAAAGATTTCCTTGATTGCAGAAGGAGCAAAGAGCAGAAAAGTAAACAAAGTGGAATGTACGTGTCTCTGCTTCTAGGCAGAGAATGAAAGGCTATCTTGATAAATCTGAGGGTTTTTTTATTGTATGATAGCCACAAAGCAGTGTGCTTAAAAACAAACCCACAAAACTGAAAACAGACAGTTGAATAGTTTTCAAAGAAGACTTTCAGTGAAAATACAACATTATCTAGAAATAAAGCATAAATCTTTTTTAAGTGATAATGGAGAATTCACTGTTCTTTTCTGTAATGTGAGCAGCACAATGATGTTATGAAATAAAATGCACTTTATATTCTTTTTACCAACGTGGAAAGAGCCCTACAGTTTTCTGCTCTTGTCCTCTTAAGGACAGAGGGCAAAAGCTCGCTTGATCTTGATTTTCAGTACGAATACAGACCGTGAAAGCGGGGCCTCACGATCCTTCTGACTTTTTGGGTTTTAAGCAGGAGGTGTCAGAAATGTCAGAGCTTTTGCCCTTCTGCTCCATTTTTACTTTCATTTTGAAAGATATTTTAGGAATTTTTCCAGTATCTACATTTGTGGGCAAGGGGTTGGACTGTTAAGAAATTCGGTACTTAGAAGGTCAACATGTGAACTGTCAACTATAGAATGGAATTGGAAGACTTTGTGTATGAGTGAATCCAGCAGTACTTACCAACACATTTCCTTTTAACTTGGATTAGAAGGTGATTGTGGTCTGTGGTAGATGTTTAATGTTTCCAATTCAACTCTCCAGTTTGCTACTTTCCTAGGAATATTAAGGAACATTCTGAGGTAGGAGCTGTGGTCTTGCTGTGCCTTAAACGACAGGATGATTTTATCTAGCTGCATGCACAAAGACCAGAAGTAAAGACAGTAGTGGCAGTCTGCTATTGAAAGATCATGGATGTGAAAGCATAAAAATCACTGAAACTTCTAAAGGCAACAAGATAAAAGCATGCAATCACTCAGCGCAGGAGAAATGCATTTAAATGAATCGATTTCCCTCAACCCCTTTCCTAGCTACTGGTGTGCTTAGTAAAAAAGCACAGCTGGTCTGTTAGCTTGGACCCTAGCTATGGCGTAGGACAGAAACCTGAAGATGTCTTAATGTCCAAGGTGCTGTGTCCTGTCAGGACTGGCTTGCATTTTTCTCTCCTGTCTTGTCTATATGTTGTTTTTGCTTCTAGCATGGCCTTGACTCTACCTTGCTTTCTGATCTTACTCTTTTGTGATTAGGATTGCTTTACCTGATGCCCAGACACTGCAGCATTGGCTTGAAGTCTTTGCCAGGATTGCTCAGAATACTCGCTTGTGTTCTCCCTCCCTAAGTGTTTTTTTTCTGGAAGCAGTTTTCTGATGAAATAATGTAGTTAGGTAAGCAAAGATGTAGATAGCAAAACTATCTGAAATTTGCCCTTGCAATGAGAAGTTATTTGACCAGCTATTTGTTATTGTTTCACATCTTGAACAGCAGTGCTGCTGGATGAGTCTGGTGTTTCCAGGATGTTTGTCTATCCTGTCTGTATTCTCACTGAGAAATTTCTATCTCAATGCTCTTTTATTAGGAACAAAAATAAAGTGCCCAAGTTTTCCCTGGCACAATAAATAAGTGCAAGGTTTTAAACTGGTTTTCTGTCTCGTTTTGATTAGAAGAATTCTTTCAGTAAAAGAACTGAGTAAAAGCTCAGTTTAAAAACTCTACAGTTTTTAGGCCTTAACTTTGCTTTACCATTCTGGTGAAGAAGTTGGCAGAAGTTTGACACAACATATTTATTTTTTCGTATTTACACTTTCCAGCAAACTCCATCCAGACCTTTTTACTAGCAGTTTCTTTAGAAAATACCTGCCTGTTGTGTCTCTTATGTGTAGGGAGTCCAGCTGCCCTCCTTATCAAAACATAATGTGGCAACTTGGTCTCCACAAAGAGCGTGTTTTCTTCTTTGAAGCTCTGTAGCGTTCTTTGGAAATGGCTCTAAACAAATGACTAGCCACTACTTAAAAATCACAGGAATTGCAATGTCTTTATCTTACTTAAAAAGAAAAACAAACAAGAACTCCCCTGTGATTTAGGCTGAAGAGATTCAGCTGGGCATGCATTGCTACTTACTTGGCCTAAGAAAAAAACACCTAAGCCTTTAATTGAAGATAAATGGAACTGTTAAGATCATGTTGCCTGCTCTGGTGATGGTGATAATTATTATTATTAATTATTTCAGTGTGCAAACCCTACAAAGCAGTATGGGTAGTTAGTACAAAATGTGATCAGGATACTCAATTCTGTTACTTGTTTGCACAAGTGGCATAGAATTTTAGTAAAATTCAGACTTTCCTGTCTGACACTTTTCCTGCCTGTCAGCTGGTATTCTTTCCTTGACTTCTGATAAGTTATTGAAATATGCATCAACCAAGAAACATTTGAAATGAGCTATCTGTGTATTTAAATGAATACAGGTATTTGTAGAATAAACATCTTAAGTATGATTTCTTAATTTAGACTGTTTGGGAAAGCAGTGCAATGAAGACATGACTGCACTAGCTTCAGCTCCTCTGGTGCAACTGATGGAATCCATGTGATTGCTTGAAAAGCTGGCTGGTCTTTCTTGGCTTTTTTTTTTTTTTTTTTTTTTTTTTTTTCTCTACATTTGCTCTCAGCTCACAGAAAGATGTTGAGTACTTCAACGCTGAATTTCCTTCAGGCTTGCTTTTTGCAACACAGGAATTATTTTCATAAATGCATATTTGCTCAATCTCTAATACTTATCTGTCTCAGACACATTTTCTAAGTGACTGAGTAGTCTCGACAGGTAGAATAACAATTAATGATTTTTATTATGCAGCTTTATCTCAGTCACGCACATACACCTCTATTAAAAAAAAAAAAAAGAACAAACCAACCAATGTTCTCATTCCAAACAAATAAAGACCATCCCCAGTTTTAAATGTACTGAAAATCTGGCATGTGTATGCCAGATTAAGAACAGACAAGTCTTTTTGACATTTTAAGTTTTCCTGATGGAGTCTTGTTCTCTATAATTAATTTTCTCCACATTTACTTGGACAAAGTGAAGTTGTGGACTTACCTTTTCCTTCACCAGAAGTCCAGTCTCTTCTCTAAACAAATGTCTGCTATCTGAGCCTTAGCGTGAGAAGAAAAAAAAACAAACAAACAAACAACAGCATTTTGCATTTTGACTTGAAAAATGAAACACAATGTTCTGTACTGAAATGTTCCACAGAATGTGCACAACTTTTCTCATCTCGGTTGTACAGAGCTTAAAAAAGCACCTGAGGGAACAAGGCACATAATGAGTAACCAGACCAGGCAGTGTCTAACCACTTCAAAAATCTGTAATTTCCCTAACTTGTGGGAACTAAAGCTTACTGGTTAGAGTGAAGGTCATTCCCTTGGCTGGGAACCAGTCGCTCACTAAGTGCTGCAGTTTGGTCACTTGAGGTGAAATCAGTGGCTTTAGTGACTTAAAAATTAGGCACCATAATCGCCAAACTCAATCAACTGAATTGTCTGTATTTTCACTGGAGATGAAATGGGCGAGTCATCCCATCTGTCTTCTCTTTTGTTTCCCTAAAGGGG